GGGGGGTCCCCTGCGCACCGCGCGCCGGGTTCTGTCCCTGAGACCCCCGCGGGTCGGATGGGTCTGCGCCGGCTGCTTACAGCCGCCGCTTCACGTGCCTGGGGGAGAGGCTTGGGGGTCCTCAGGATTCCCACGGGGCGTTAAGAGCTTTTATTTGTTTATTTTTTAAGAAAGCCCTCTTTAGGGATCCACGGAAGGGGCCCCAGGGCCTGCGGGGGAGGCTTGGGGGCTGGCTGCGCACCCCCCTTCCCACTTTCGCTGTTCCCCCTTTCCCCTCTGACAGCGCCAAGTGGACGGAGACGGAGATAGAGATGCTGAGGGCTGCTGTGAAGCGGTTTGGGGACGATCTTAATCACATCAGCTGTGTCATCAAGGAACGGACAGTGTGAGGGAGGGTGGCCGGCAGAGGAGGGGGGGGTGGGCACTGTCTTCCACCGCACCCGAGCCAGCCCGAGGTCCACCTTCCCGAGAACTCCCTTCCAGCTCGACAGCCCTCCTACCTCGCTGCCGGCTCTGTTAGCACCTCCGCGAAGAGTTTGGTCAGAAGTTAACTGAACCGCCGGGGTAACAGGACCTCCCAAGAATTTAATCTCGGGGCGGGGGCCGCCTGAGATCCCCAACAACCGGAACTTCTCTGGTTGTTTGCACGGCTCCTTGGAGGGGACATTGTGATTCCGAATGAGTTGATCAGGATCCGCTAATAAGTCCCCCTCTACCTGTCGGTCGGTCACCAAGGTTCACCTGGGAGCCTTCCGCCCCGGAAGAGAATTAGGACGCGGGCCTTTCCGCCACTCAGCTCAGGGAGTCCACTCTTCAGATTCCAGCCGCCCTAAGCGCGTGCAAAGCCTCAGGAAAACGAGAACCCTACCAAAGGGCCAGGGCCCTAACCAGATTCTTATGGAGGGGCTCCCAGTGTTCCTTCAGAATGGCCCATTACCCCTTCCCTCCCCTCCCTTCTTCCTTCAGTCTCCCCAGGACTCCCTCCCTAACCTGCTCTGTCTTCTCTTCAGGGCCCAGATAAAGGCCACCGTGAAGCGTAAGGTGTACGAAGACTCCGGCATCCCTCTTCCCGCCGAGTCACCCAAGAAAGGGCCCAAGAAGGTGCCATCTGGTGTCTTGTCGCCTCCTCCAGCCGCCCCTCCACCAAGCAGCTCCAGTGTCCCTGAGGCCGGGGCCCCCCCCGTAAAGAAACAGAAGGCCGGTGAGGGCTGTGGGGCTGAAGGTTCAGTGGGAGAATCGGGCTTGGGCCAGGGAAGGACAAATGTCCCTTCCTCTCCCCGTCAGGGTTCCCAGAGAGTGGCTGAGAGGGCAGAGGGAGGGGGAGCTCGAAGCTCTGGGAAGCTGGGGGGCAGTCAGAGAACCTAGAACCCAGTTGATGTTCCCACCCCCACACCCCCACCCCCAGATGTGACACTCAGCGCTCTGAACGACTCGGATGCCAATAGTGACCTGGTGGACATTGAAGGGCTAGGAGAAACCCCTCCGGCCAAGAAACTCAACTTCGACCAGGGTAGGCGTCGTCCTCCTCCCACACCAGCTACGGGGCGGGGGGGGGGGGGGGGGGGGGGAGCGCTCACTCGGATGGTAGGGGAGGGTCTCCACAGGAGCCCCCTGCCCCCTCGTACAGAGGTTCTGGAAGAGAAGGTCCTCCAGTCCACGCTGCGGGGGACGGGCTCAGCAAAGAGCCGGGTGATGTGGGGGGTAGGAGTCGCCTTGGAGGCATACTTGGGGCTCACCCCGTCTCGGCCCATCTTGCTTCCTGTTCCAGACAGCCTGACCCTGGATTCTGGCCTTCTCGTGACCTCTGCTGACCCTCCTCTGCTCTCTCGCTGAGCCTTCCACCTCTGACCCCTCTCACTGTTCACCCTGGACCTGTGGATCGCCTGGGACTCTGAGCGGGCCTGCAGAGCACGGCCCACGAGGCTGCTGGGGCTGCGCACTCTGCTGTTCCCGTATGAGCGTCTACCCCCAGCCCCTTTGACCTCCATCGGACGGACGTTTTTATACCGAAAACAATAAAGATTCTCCTCTCAGCTCCGTGCCTGCAGCCTAACATCATTGGAGCGCCACGGGCGGGTGCCTCTCCCCTCAGCCCCACGGGGCTCAGCCCCTTCTGGAAGTTCTCACCACCCTGCCTAGAGCAGCACAGCCAATATTGGCAGACTCTCTTCCCAGTGCCAATATTTCTGTGCTGCTAGAGCCAGGGGAGCTGGGCGTGGGCAACAAAGACTCCACTTTGCTCTCCGAAGGCAGAACTGAGCTCCCAGGGTCTCTGGCGGTCAGTATTCCTGAGGCTGCCCTGGGGATCTCAGAGGGGCGTATTTCCAGTGCTTTCATCCCCCCCCACACACACACAACACCTCACAAGAAGGCCCAGATGTTTTCCGTGTCGCTTCTCCGGGGTGGCCTCCCCGGGCCAAGCCTCAGCGGTGCCTCCCCCACCCTCGCTCTAACACCACAGTGTGGTTTGGACGTGGCCACAGTGCCGTACAAACCACAGTGTGCTGCTGGGGCGGGGGCAGGACTGGGGTGGGTTGAGATCACGGGACGGGGCTGTGAAGACCCCGGCACCCAGAGCAG